TATATATATATAAAGATCATCCACCCCGGCTTCTCTCCTGCTCTTTGGAAAGGCTGGCGTTCTACAGTCCAGTGGGGAAAAGTGGAAGGGTGGGTTTCATTACCTCTCTAATGTGATGTAGAGTAGTGTTCCTGGAAGCTTTTGTCAGAGCATTTCCAGCTGAAAGGAGGCCCTGGGGCAAAAACCTTTCTCATCCCACTTCATGCCGGTTGAGTAAGCATCAGACAAGGTCTGGAGCTGAGGGAAGTGGTTCTGTACAGAGTAATGTGAGTGGAGACTGACGGGGACTGATGGGAAAGCTGGTAAGTCTGAGACTGATGCATAATGATGTCTTACTTAAGCAGGAAACTATTAAGAACTGAATGATTGAACCGTGTTACATTTTTGTCCACATGAAGGCCAGAGGGATTTAATAATAACACCTTAAGTCTGCATCAGTGCCTTACTGCTTGCAAATGCTTTTCAGTGTTCTCATTTAATTCTGACCCCTTCTGAGAGAAGCAGGGCAAAGACTATTAACCACATAGTCACAGGAGGAGCGGGAGGCTCACAGGTACTGGGTCTTCACAAGGTAACAAGTGACTGGCAGTGGAGTCAGTCACAGCAGGGTTTTCTAAAATACCCACACGACCCCTACTCGCACCAGCCGGTGCTGGTTTTGTGCTTGTGTGACATTTTTTTACAGAGGCCAGAGCTTCTGCATTTATTTTGGTCTGCACAGTCACACTGTGAATTACCATTCACACTTGACAGATGAGGAGGCTTACACAGGTGATGGGGGTTGTCCGTGGTTCTCTGTCTAATCCAGTGAAGTTTGCAAGACTGGAACTCGAGCTCCCGATGCCTACTCTGTTGCTTTGTGGATTATGCCATTGTTCCACTTCCGATAGCTCTTAGGACACATCACAGATGCTGCAGTAGCCTAGGGACTGTGATGCGTGCCTGCTGGTGACCTGGGTTCTAGTTCTGGCACTGTGTTTGTCTGTGTGACCTGGCCCAAATCATATCACCTCTGAGCCTTCAGTCCCCACATATAAAACACGAGGTCTGTATTGAATTATCCTTCTCTTTCTAGTTTTAGCATACTATAATGCTTATCAGTGTGTTTGTAATCCAATGGTATCATTTTCTATTGTGGGGGGAGGCCTTTTAACTGTATTAACTAAGGATTTAACTAGTTCTCTATTTCATCTGTAATTTACTCCTCCCTCCCTTTCATCACATACCACTTAATGAAGGGGAAGAAAAATTCCAAGTGTACTTCAGCTCAGCATCTATATTGTTTCATTTTAGTATTTGATTTGAAAATATTCTGAGGGGCTGAACTCCTCTAAAATACATGTGAGGATTTACTTGAATCCCCCTCTCCCCCCGCAGAAAAAAAAAATTCCAGTCAGTCAACTCAGTCCCTTTAGTTGTTTATTTTATTTTTTTTAGCTTTGGGGTTTACATACCATAAATACTCAATAAATAGCCGTTGAATGACAGAGGTGAGTCAAGTAACTTTAAAACAATCTCAAGCATCTCATCCCAACACCTGCTGACCCAGAAGATAATTTACCTACACAAGGTGTGGCCCCTGAAGCTAGCAGGGATGGTTGCCCATTGTTGCTCTCCTTCCTGAATACATCACACAAAGAAGAGTTATTCTTACTCCATGTAGACAATAGATTCACGTCCTCTATGCCATGCTCTTTTGCTTGCCTCCCCCCACTTAGTTGTTAGTGATGGGTAGCTTATGAAAGAGTATTTCTTGAGAGGGAGAAACCAACCACTCTTTTTTATATTTGAGTAAATTTCAGCAGATGCTAATACCAGCTCATGGCTTCAGACGGGGAACCTAATTAATAAAACCAAACTAGCATCTGTTCCCTTTAAGAATGCTCTTCTCTTTCCACCTCTCCTTACTGAAAAGTGGTGTTTAGAAGAATGATGGCAAAGAAATAGAATGGGTCTTAAATATTATTAACAGAACCAGTCATGGGGGATTGAGGTGATTTCTTCCTGATAGAGAATTCAAGAATTAACTAACTAGTTCAGACACTGGCACCTTTTATGGGTAAGACGGCTGCGGCTTCGAGAGGTGAGATGTCTTGCTCAGTCACACAGATGTTTAGCAGGAGGATCAGGGCTAATGTGGAATTCGTAAGAAGGTTCATATTCAAGATTGTGCCTGGGGTTTTTATGGTGAAGGTGCATTTCTTACTTTTAAGAAGACAAAGTTGTCTGTTTTTATCTGTTCACTGTGTTTCTCTTGGCTAGATAGATCAACAGACTCAGAATTAATACTTTGTTCCAACCAGTGCTTGGAGACAGGGAACTATTTGAAGAGAAATACAAATGGATGCTGGTTTTCCAAGCTTCTCTTCCTGGTAAATAAAGCCAGAAGCCAAAGGTGGCCCTGTCATACAGCTGATAAAGTCATAAATGCGTATACATTTGCATTTGCATTTTTGCTTGCACTTCTGTTAAATGGTGAGTCAGAATATTTAATATCTTGGAAAAGTCATTTTTCCCTAAGGCTGGAGCCCTCATTAGTTACTCTGTAAAACACCACGTTCTAGATGTATTTGTTGCAGAAACATGTTCTCTTTGTATCAAGTACATTAACTGGAGTTGGAAGGAGTCCTTTTATTTTTGTAGAGGCTGCCCAGTTCGAAGCGTACATTATGTAGCTCGGCTGTTCAGTTGTGGCTGGATTTGGCGATTCTTCTAAATGGAAGGGAAATCTAACCTTTTGTTCAGTATTTTTCTTTTCAAAAATAAACTTTAAACTTAATCTATTGATGAAATTTTTGAAGGGTACTGTATAGTAAACAATTAGCTGCTTTATTCAGTCAGGTCCCTTCCAGTAACAAGATTTGGCCAGGAAAAACAGGCTTGATTCTGTGTGTCCCATTCTCAATTGTATTTACTCCTGTCCGACTTCAGAGGAGTGTAAAGGAAACCGTGATATAAGAAAGCACAAGAATCCTATCCAGACT